TGTTTTGTCGATGTTTGTTATTGACAGATAGTTATGTGTTTGATCTCCAATTTTTAGGATCAACACCGATTCCCCAAAAAAAAAGATTTTTCAAAGAAATTTTGTAAAAATTAATGTATAGGAATAAGAAGTCTATTATTAGAAAATTAAAATCTTGTTTATAATAAAATTTAAAGGGAAGACAAATTCTATAGCCTCCTAATTAACTTAATATCTTTGGTACCTTAAGAAGAACAGGGCAATTATGTTTGGAGATAGGCCTCTGTTGATCAGTATGTACTAGTCGAGAATAATAAAGAAAACTTTGTTTGCTCTTTACTACATCAGCAAATTTAAAAGGCCGTAATATTTCGAAATAATTTATGACCCATAATAAAACCATAATATTACATAATAAATTTTGAAAAATTGCGAAATTTAAGAATTACGAAATATTACATAAGTTATTTCAAAATATTCTGTAAAATATTTCGCAATATTTCGAAATAGATCAAAAATTTTATTGGCGGAGACCCTAATATGATCAGCCAATCTCGCTACATACGTACGTACGTATAAATAAAACTATGTTAGTATTTTTACTATGATCAGATTTTTTATTGTCGAAATTAAAATGATCACTTTACTTTATGTATAATAAGAACTCTAATCGAAAACGTTAATTCATTCGTGTAATGTGAAAAATCTGTAATATTCCATATGTTTAGTATATTTTTTTTTATTTTTAACTTCTTTACAATCTCTATGTACATATATTTATCAATATATTTTTTTTAACATACATATATATTGTTTATATATTTTTTATTTTTTAGATAGTTTTCTTCTGTCCTTCAGCGTTTTGCTGATGAAATTGTCTATGGTACTTCTTCTGATCCTTCGACGTTTTCTGGTAAAATGTCTTGCGGTATTTTTTCTGGTCTTTGGCATTTTGTTGGTGAATTGTCTTGTGGAATTTCTTCTGATTCTTTGGCGTTTTGTTGGTGAATTGTCTTGTGGTATTTTTTTTGATCCTTCGGTATTTTCTAGTAAGTTGTTTTGTGGTATTTCTTCTGATCCTTTGGCATTTGCTGGTGAATTGTCTTGTAGTATTTCTTTTGGTCCTTTGGCATTTTGCTGGTGATTGCTTCTTTGGGTAGTTTTATACTACCCTTTTTCTTTCTTTTTAGAAGTTCTCTTCTGGCAATTGTCTTGTGGTACTTCTTCTGGTCCTTCGGCGTCCTCTGGTAAATTGTCTTGTGGTATTTCGGCAATTTACTGAAGAATTGTTTTGTGGTATTTCTTCTGGTCATTCAGCATTTTACTGGTGAATTGTCTTGTAGAATTTCTTCTGATCCTTTGGCGTTTTGTTGGTGAATTGCCTTGTGGTATTTCTTCTGATCCTTTGGCATTTTCTGGTAAGTTGTTTTGTGGTATTTCTTCTGGTTCTTTGGTGTTTGCTGGTGAATTGTCTTGTGATATTTCTTTTGGTCCTTCAGCATTTTACTGGTGAATTGTCTTGTGGTTGCTTCTTTGGGTAGTTTTATACTACCTTTTTTTTCCTTTTTAGAAGTTCTCTTCCGGCAATTATCTTGTGATACTTCTTTTGGTCCTTCGGCGTCCTCAGGTAAATTGTCTTGTAGTATTTCTTCTGATCTTCAGCAATTTACTGGTGAATTGTTTTGTGGTATTTCTTCTGGTTCTTCAGCATTTTACTGGTGAATTGTCTTGTGGTTGCTTCTTTGGATAGTTTTATACTACCTTTTTTTTTTCTTTTTTAGAATTTCTCTTCTGGCAATTGTCTTGTAGTACTTCTTCTGGTCCTTCAGCATTTTCAGGTGAATTGCTTTGTGATATTTCTTCTGGTCTTCGGCGTTTTGTTGGTGAATTGTCTTATGTTATTTCTTCTGGTTCTTCGGTATTTTACTGGTTAATTGTCTTGTGGTTGCTTCTTTGGGTAGTTATACTACCCTTTTTTTTTCTTTTTTTTTAGTAGAATTTCTCTTCGGAATTGTAGTATTTCTTCTAGTCCTTTGGTGTCTTCTGTGAATTGTATTGTGGTGTTATTTAGCCTTTTGCTGGTGAATTATCTTTGGTACTTCTTCTGGTCCTTCGGCGTTTTCTAGTAAGTTGTTTTGTGGGATTTTTCTGGTCCTTCAGCATTTCTCTTGTGGTATTTCTTCTGATCCTTTGACGTTTTCTGGTGAATTGTCCTATGGTATTTCTTCTGGTCCTTCAGCGTTTTCTAATGAATTGTCTTATGATATTTCTTCTGGTCTTTTAGCATTTTCTATTGAATTGTCCTATGATATTTCTTCTGGTCCTTTGGCATTTTCTGGTGAATTGTATTGTATGTTTTGCTGGTGAACTGTCTTGTGGTATTTCTTCTGGTCTTCAGCATTTTGCTAATGAATTGTCTTGTAGTATATTTGTTTGGTCTTCGGTGTTCTCTGGTGAATTGTTTTAGTATTTCTTCTGGGCCTCCAGTGTTCTTTATTAAATTGTCATGTGGTATTTCTTCTGGTACTTTGATGCTTTGCCAATAAATTGTCTTGTGGTATTTCTTCTGGTCTTTTGATGCTTCGCTGGTCTATGTATTTTTCTGGGCCTTCGATGTTTTGTTGGTGAATTGTTTTGTAGTATTTTACAAAACAATTCTCCACCAAAATGCCGAAGGTATGGTCTGTTGGTGGTTTGAGAGAATTGTTTTGTGGTATTTTTTACTGCTTCATCGGGCTTGGAGCAGTTTTCTGTTATTTTTTTGTTGGGTTTGAAAGTAGTTTTTTTAGTATATAATTTGTAATAAACTCTAAATTTGACTTCGAAATAATAAAAAATATATACAGTAAAATACATATAAATTTGTAATTTTGGTTTTTGATTATGAGTGTTATAAAATTATTTTTTTTAAATTATATTTTGTAATATTTAGAAAGTTACTAAAGTTATTATAGAATATTACAAAAGTTATTACAGAATATTACAAAATATATTTCGAAATATTATGAAATATATTTCATAATATTCTATAATATATTTTATAATATTTCTTAATAACTTCCATAATATTACGTGTCATAATATTCTGCATCAATCGTAATTCTTACGGAATATTTCGCGGCATAATAACTTACGTAATATTACGCTTATATATTTTGCTGATGTAGGGCTACTAATTATTAATTAGTAACCAGACCATTGTCAGCTACTTGTGGCTTTTGTTTTCCAACAGTATTAAACTTAATACAATTAAATTTAATATTGCTTTAACAAAGACTATACTATGAAGTCTTCGAATTTTTTGTTTTGCTTACAAATTTGGGAATCATAAAAATAAATTTAATTTATATATTATAATTTTAAATTTTTCATATTATATTTTTAAAATTTCAGATTATAGTTTCAAAATTTTAAATTATAGTTTCAGGGTTTCAGATTATAGTTTCAGAGTTTCGAGTTTCAGGGTTTTAGTTTTTTTTTAAAAATCTAAAACTAGTTTTGGATTAGTACCTTCCAAAACTAGTTTCGAGTAGGTTTCGTTTTGAGTACCAACTTTAGTATATTTTTTATTAAGAGAAAAAGGTGGAAGACAAAAGAGGCTGGTGCAGTATTGTAAGCCACCAAATCAAATTGGTCTGGTCTAACATAAATTAAAAAAAAATTTGCATATTATACTAGCCCTTGCATTCTATTTATAAAATAAAATTAATAATTTATAAAGTAAGTATACTTGATAATCTAATTTATTTTGCACTTGATAATTTTTTTTTAAACATTCATTGCATATATTCTTTTGTATAAAAAGATATGAATTACTGTATTTGCACATAATAGGAGCCAGGCATTAATTCAAATTTTGATTTTTTGAAAAAATTAGTCACATTATTTGAAATAATGCCCATGTGTGTTCTAAAATAATGCTATCCTGCATATATTGATTAAAATTTAAAAACTTATTGATGATTTGGATATTATAATAAAATCTATGTATTTTATTTCATTATAAAAGTTCAAAAATTTTATATTTTGCCTCAAAATAAGGCATATGTTCAATTCAAAATAATGTGCAGAAAGATGTATTACATGCAAATATGGTATATGCAGCAAATATATGAACACTACACTATATCTGTTCTGTGTTGTTATGAATTTAGATCAATCCAGAATTGGTGTGTTATTCATAAATCATGAAATGAAGTAGGTTGTTTTAAAATCGATATCTATTTACTGATTAAAAAAAAGTGAAACAAAGATTTAGAAATAAAAAGTAAATAAAAATTAAAATAAAATAAAAGAAAAATTCTAGGCATCTCTAGCCAGAGATATATAGCTTATATATCTCTGGCTATTTAGCCAATCAAAGAATGAGAAAATCATATGACTAAAGCTCATGTGTTGATCTAATTGTTGACACAAGGTCGAATGACCTTATAATGCACAGCCATACCATTTTCAGAACTGAATAGATAAGATTATCTTTATTTAATTTTTTTTTACTTCCAATACTAATTTTTTGTTTATTTATTTAGCTTATCGCCTTTCGTTGATGGTGCCATCGCTGGTGTTGCAGTTGATGTTGTAGTTGGTGTGTGATTGGTGTTGTCATTTGGTCTTGCATCTGTTTTTATGTCTTTGCGTAGTCTTATACTTGCTTTGTTGGTAATTTCTCAGTACAGTTCTGTATGTTTGCTTCTTTGCTTGCTTTTTGTTTTTAACTTTACTGCTTTTTTGCTTGTTTCTCTGTCTTTGATTGCTTCACTTTTGCTTTTTGCTTGCTTGCTTCGCTTTTGATTTTTCTTGCCTTCTTCGCTTTTGCTTTTTGCTTGCCTGCTTCACTTTTGCTTTTCTTGCTTTTTTTGCTTTTTGCTTGTTGCTTTTTTTGCTTTTGCTTATTTCTTTTTTCTTGATTTTCTTTTCACTTTTCTCTGCTTTTTGCTTTTCTTTTTTTTGTTTTATGTCCTTACTAACTATTTTTTTAATTTTTTTTTTAGCTTATTAAGTTTCTTAGGTCTTGCTAGGGTATGCAATGTGAAATCAGTGGCTTTAGTAAGTTTTCTTCTTTTTTTGAATTGTTTTTCTTTTTTTTGTCTTATTCACTAATTATTTTTTTTTTCTTTAACTTGTTTAGGTTTTTTAGGTTTCACTAGAACATAAAATGTAAAACAGAACAAATAAATTATTGAAATATTTTCATGCATTCTTGCAAACTGTCAATAGTGTAAAACTATTATTTCAATATTATTGAATAAACTTACAAATTATTTCAGTGATAAAAGACTTATAAGAATATATTGACAGCTTTGGTAAGTTTTTTTTTTCTCTTTTTCTTTTTGTTTTATTTGCTAACTATTTTCTTTTTTGGCTTAATTAGGTTTTTAGATTTCACCAGGATGTAGAATGTGAAATTGGCAGTTCAGTAAGTTTTTCTTTTTAGTTTGGTTTTTTTTCTTTATCTTATTTGCTAACTATTTTTCCTTTTTTTTTGGCTTGTTTAAGTTTCTTATTTTGCTAAGATGTGGAATATAAAATCAGCAGCTTTAGTAAGTTTTTTTTCTCTTGTTTATGTTTTTGGTTTTTCTTTCTTTTATTTGTTAACTATTTTTCTTTTCTTTGGCTTGTTTAAGTTGCAGTGGAATGTGGAACGTAAAATTAGCAACCTAGGTAAGTTTTCTTTTTTTCTTTTTCTTTTGATCTTGTTTTTCTGTCCTTTGTCTTATTTGCTAATTATTTTTTTCTTTTGTTAGATTTTTTAGGTTTTGCCATATATAAAACGTAAAATTAGCAACTTTAGTAAGTTTTTTCTCTTTCTTTTGGTTGCATTTTTCTGTCCTATTCACTAACAATTTTTTTCTTCTCTTTGGCTTATTTAGGTTTCTTAAATTTCGTTGGAATATAGAATGTAAAATTGGTAGCAAATAAGATAAAGAAAAAAAACCAAACTAAAAAGAAAAACTTACTGAACTGCCAATTTCACATTCTACATCCTGGTGAAATCTAAAAACCTAATTAAGCCAAAAAAGAAAATAGTTAGCAAATAAAACAAAAAGAAAAAGAGAAAAAAAAAACTTACCAAAGCTGTCAATATATTCTTATAAGTCTTTTATCACTGAAATAATTTGTAAGTTTATTCAATAATATTGAAATAATAGTTTTACACTATTGACAGTTTGCAAGAATGCATGAAAATATTTCAATAATTTATTTGTTCTGTTTTACATTTTATGTTCTAGTGAAACCTAAAAAACCTAAACAAGTTAAAGAAAAAAAAAATAATTAGTGAATAAGACAAAAAAAAGAAAAACAATTCAAAAAAAGAAGAAAACTTACTAAAGCCACTGATTTCACATTGCATACCCTAGCAAGACCTAAGAAACTTAATAAGCTAAAAAAAAAATTAAAAAAATAGTTAGTAAGGACATAAAACAAAAAAAAGAAAAGCAAAAAGCAGAGAAAAGTGAAAAGAAAATCAAGAAAAAAGAAATAAGCAAAAGCAAAAAAAGCAACAAGCAAAAAGCAAAAAAAGCAAGAAAAGCAAAAGTGAAGCAGGCAAGCAAAAAGCAAAAGCGAAGAAGGCAAGAAAAATCAAAAGCGAAGCAAGCAAGCAAAAAGCAAAAGTGAAGCAATCAAAGACAGAGAAACAAGCAAAAAAGCAGTAAAGTTAAAAACAAAAAGCAAGCAAAGAAGCAAACATACAGAACTGTACTGAGAAATTACCAACAAAGCAAGTATAAGACTACGCAAAGACATAAAAACAGATGCAAGACCAAATGACAACACCAATCACACACCAACTACAACATCAACTGCAACACCAGCGATGGCACCATCAACGAAAGGCGATAAGCTAAATAAATAAACAAAAAATTAGTATTGGAAGTAAAAAAAAATTAAATAAAGATAATCTTATCTATTCAGTTCTGAAAATGGTATGGCTGTGCATTATAAGGTCATTCGACCTTGTGTCAACAATTAGATCAACACATGAGCTTTAGTCATATGATTTTCTCATTCTTTGATTGGCTAAATAGCCAGAGATATATAAGCTATATATCTCTGGCTAGAGATGCCTAGAATTTTTCTTTTATTTTATTTTAATTTTTATTTACTTTTTATTTCTAAATCTTTGTTTCACTTTTTTTTAATCAGTAAATAGATATCGATTTTAAAACAACCTACTTCATTTCATGATTTATGAATAACACACCAATTCTGGATTGATCTAAATTCATAACAACACAGAACAGATATAGTGTAGTGTTCATATATTTGCTGCATATACCATATTTGCATGTAATACATCTTTCTGCACATTATTTTGAATTGAACATATGCCTTATTTTGAGGCAAAATATAAAATTTTTGAACTTTTATAATGAAATAAAATACATAGATTTTATTATAATATCCAAATCATCAATAAGTTTTTAAATTTTAATCAATATATGCAGGATAGCATTATTTTAGAACACACATGGGCATTATTTCAAATAATGTGACTAATTTTTTCAAAAAATCAAAATTTGAATTAATGCCTGGCTCCTATTATGTGCAAATACAGTAATTCATATCTTTTTATACAAAAGAATATATGCAATGAATGTTTAAAAAAAAATTATCAAGTGCAAAATAAATTAGATTATCAAGTATACTTACTTTATAAATTATTAATTTTATTTTATAAATAGAATGCAAGGGCTAGTATAATATGCAAATTTTTTTTTAATTTATGTTAGACCAGACCAATTTGATTTGGTGGCTTACAATACTGCACCAGCCTCTTTTGTCTTCCACCTTTTTCTCTTAATAAAAAATATACTAAAGTTGGTACTCAAAACGAAACCTACTCGAAACTAGTTTTGGAAGGTACTAATCCAAAACTAGTTTTAGATTTTTAAAAAAAAACTAAAACCCTGAAACTCGAAACTCTGAAACTATAATCTGAAACCCTGAAACTATAATTTAAAATTTTGAAACTATAATCTGAAATTTTAAAAATATAATATGAAAAATTTAAAATTATAATATATAAATTAAATTTATTTTTATGATTCCCAAATTTGTAAGCAAAACAAAAAATTCGAAGACTTCATAGTATAGTCTTTGTTAAAGCAATATTAAATTTAATTGTATTAAGTTTAATACTGTTGGAAAACAAAAGCCACAAGTAGCTGACAATGGTCTGGTTACTAATTAATAATTAGTAGCCCTACATCAGCAAAATATATAAGCGTAATATTACGTAAGTTATTATGCCGCGAAATATTCCGTAAGAATTACGATTGATGCAGAATATTATGACACGTAATATTATGGAAGTTATTAAGAAATATTATAAAATATATTATAGAATATTATGAAATATATTTCATAATATTTCGAAATATATTTTGTAATATTCTGTAATAACTTTTGTAATATTCTATAATAACTTTAGTAACTTTCTAAATATTACAAAATATAATTTAAAAAAAATAATTTTATAACACTCATAATCAAAAACCAAAATTACAAATTTATATGTATTTTACTGTATATATTTTTTATTATTTCGAAGTCAAATTTAGAGTTTATTACAAATTATATACTAAAAAAACTACTTTCAAACCCAACAAAAAAATAACAGAAAACTGCTCCAAGCCCGATGAAGCAGTAAAAAATACCACAAAACAATTCTCTCAAACCACCAACAGACCATACCTTCGGCATTTTGGTGGAGAATTGTTTTGTAAAATACTACAAAACAATTCACCAACAAAACATCGAAGGCCCAGAAAAATACATAGACCAGCGAAGCATCAAAAGACCAGAAGAAATACCACAAGACAATTTATTGGCAAAGCATCAAAGTACCAGAAGAAATACCACATGACAATTTAATAAAGAACACTGGAGGCCCAGAAGAAATACTAAAACAATTCACCAGAGAACACCGAAGACCAAACAAATATACTACAAGACAATTCATTAGCAAAATGCTGAAGACCAGAAGAAATACCACAAGACAGTTCACCAGCAAAACATACAATACAATTCACCAGAAAATGCCAAAGGACCAGAAGAAATATCATAGGACAATTCAATAGAAAATGCTAAAAGACCAGAAGAAATATCATAAGACAATTCATTAGAAAACGCTGAAGGACCAGAAGAAATACCATAGGACAATTCACCAGAAAACGTCAAAGGATCAGAAGAAATACCACAAGAGAAATGCTGAAGGACCAGAAAAATCCCACAAAACAACTTACTAGAAAACGCCGAAGGACCAGAAGAAGTACCAAAGATAATTCACCAGCAAAAGGCTAAATAACACCACAATACAATTCACAGAAGACACCAAAGGACTAGAAGAAATACTACAATTCCGAAGAGAAATTCTACTAAAAAAAAAGAAAAAAAAAGGGTAGTATAACTACCCAAAGAAGCAACCACAAGACAATTAACCAGTAAAATACCGAAGAACCAGAAGAAATAACATAAGACAATTCACCAACAAAACGCCGAAGACCAGAAGAAATATCACAAAGCAATTCACCTGAAAATGCTGAAGGACCAGAAGAAGTACTACAAGACAATTGCCAGAAGAGAAATTCTAAAAAAGAAAAAAAAAAGGTAGTATAAAACTATCCAAAGAAGCAACCACAAGACAATTCACCAGTAAAATGCTGAAGAACCAGAAGAAATACCACAAAACAATTCACCAGTAAATTGCTGAAGATCAGAAGAAATACTACAAGACAATTTACCTGAGGACGCCGAAGGACCAAAAGAAGTATCACAAGATAATTGCCGGAAGAGAACTTCTAAAAAGGAAAAAAAAGGTAGTATAAAACTACCCAAAGAAGCAACCACAAGACAATTCACCAGTAAAATGCTGAAGGACCAAAAGAAATATCACAAGACAATTCACCAGCAAACACCAAAGAACCAGAAGAAATACCACAAAACAACTTACCAGAAAATGCCAAAGGATCAGAAGAAATACCACAAGGCAATTCACCAACAAAACGCCAAAGGATCAGAAGAAATTCTACAAGACAATTCACCAGTAAAATGCTGAATGACCAGAAGAAATACCACAAAACAATTCTTCAGTAAATTGCCGAAATACCACAAGACAATTTACCAGAGGACGCCGAAGGACCAGAAGAAGTACCACAAGACAATTGCCAGAAGAGAACTTCTAAAAAGAAAGAAAAAGGGTAGTATAAAACTACCCAAAGAAGCAATCACCAGCAAAATGCCAAAGGACCAAAAGAAATACTACAAGACAATTCACCAGCAAATGCCAAAGGATCAGAAGAAATACCACAAAACAACTTACTAGAAAATACCGAAGGATCAAAAAAAATACCACAAGACAATTCACCAACAAAACGCCAAAGAATCAGAAGAAATTCCACAAGACAATTCACCAACAAAATGCCAAAGACCAGAAAAAATACCGCAAGACATTTTACCAGAAAACGTCGAAGGATCAGAAGAAGTACCATAGACAATTTCATCAGCAAAACGCTGAAGGACAGAAGAAAACTATCTAAAAAATAAAAAATATATAAACAATATATATGTATGTTAAAAAAAATATATTGATAAATATATGTACATAGAGATTGTAAAGAAGTTAAAAATAAAAAAAAATATACTAAACATATGGAATATTACAGATTTTTCACATTACACGAATGAATTAACGTTTTCGATTAGAGTTCTTATTATACATAAAGTAAAGTGATCATTTTAATTTCGACAATAAAAAATCTGATCATAGTAAAAATACTAACATAGTTTTATTTATACGTACGTACGTATGTAGCGAGATTGGCTGATCATATTAGGGTCTCCGCCAATAAAATTTTTGATCTATTTCGAAATATTGCGAAATATTTTACAGAATATTTTGAAATAACTTATGTAATATTTCGTAATTCTTAAATTTCGCAATTTTTCAAAATTTATTATGTAATATTATGGTTTTATTATGGGTCATAAATTATTTCGAAATATTACGGCCTTTTAAATTTGCTGATGTAGTAAAGAGCAAACAAAGTTTTCTTTATTATTCTCGACTAGTACATACTGATCAACAGAGGCCTATCTCCAAACATAATTGCCCTGTTCTTCTTAAGGTACCAAAGATATTAAGTTAATTAGGAGGCTATAGAATTTGTCTTCCCTTTAAATTTTATTATAAACAAGATTTTAATTTTCTAATAATAGACTTCTTATTCCTATACATTAATTTTTACAAAATTTCTTTGAAAAATCTTTTTTTTTGGGGAATCGGTGTTGATCCTAAAAATTGGAGATCAAACACATAACTATCTGTCAATAACAAACATCGACAAAACAAGCAAGACGCATTCCCTTTTAGAAATCAACATTACTATAACAGTAAACAATAACAAACACGTATTCTAAGTAAACAACAAATCATGGAAACTGGGCATGTGCAAAGTAAACAAACAAAAATCAGGAACACGCATGTGCAGAATTAAACAAATATAATTTAAAAAAAATAATTTTATAACACTCATAATCAAAAACCAAAATTACAAATTTATATGTATTTTACTG